TTATAAAAGTATTATATTAATTAGTAAACCCTTTTCGTCTGCCACATTTTGTTAACTTAATTATGCATATGACTATCATTAGACTTGAACCCTTCATCTCGACTGATGCATTTTACATATGCGCTCAGCGTAATCGCATCAGATTAAGCAGCTATGCAATTAAAGCGCTCTAGACGAGCTCGTCTAAAATGTCATTGTGGTGCCATTATTTAATTCGCACGTACTCGAGCCCTGTCTCAGTCACACACACACTCTCACACTCTCTCTCTCTCTCTCTCGGTCTCTTTCTATACTTTCTTATAGTCAAAGCGGCGAGCGACCAAGATGCAGCGGCACTTTTATCATGAACATGTCCTTAAGGTTAGATTGGCTTCTGTGGCTGCAGCTGCTGCTGCTGCTGTAATCATATTTATGCTTGCCACACTTTGTGGCATTGCTGTTGCTGTTGCGCCTGCTTCTGCTTCGTTTTCTTCTTGTTCAACTACTTCTGTGCGCATAATGTCATTTAGCTGGCACCAGACGCCGCTTGGCCTTGACTTGGCTGTGCGCTTGCCTGCCTCTGCCTGGCTGCCTGCAGCTTGCCACAACTGCTTGCAACATTTTGGCGGCACGATTTCTGGCCAAGCACGCGCCTCATGCAATTTGCTACTGCCACACACTCACACACACAGAGACACTCCCAATTTGTTGTGCCTGTGGAGCTCTGCTTCGCTCACATTTCTAGTTGAAAGTTTTTCGCACTCGCGCTTTGTTAACTCTACGTGCGCTGGCAGCTCTGCTTCATGAAAAATAATTACTATTACCTGAGCGAACAGAGTTGAGCTGCCTGTGATGGATGCGTGCTGCCCAGAGCAGCAAACGTGCGTGTGCCTGTGTGTGTGTGTGCTCAAAAGTATGCTACATAAATATAATAAGCAGCAGCAGCAGTGCGAGTTAGGGACAAGACTTCAAACGAAGTCAGCTTCACGTCGGCCAAGCCTTAATGGTCGATATATATGCCTCACGGCGCGACTAATGTCTCTCATCTTGCTCGCCTCACGCACACGAGAGAAGAAATCAATAAGAAATTAATATACATTACACATACGTCCCGTGGCAGTCCGCCAGGTGGCGCTGCTGTCATTTGTCATCTGCGAAATGATTACATTGACGACTCACCTGTTGTTGTTGTTGCTGTTGCTGTTGTTGCTGTTGTTGAGGTGGGCCTCGAGATGTCATCTATGCAGATAGAGCTCGTACACCTCGACCTTTGATGGAACCCTTCGATATTTGCTCGGCGCCTTTTTATTGATGGCCATAAAAAGCGACAGCGTCAACTTTTATGTACTGAGAACGCCAAGTGTATTGGCTGTGTGCCACGCCCCACGGCCCACGGCCCACGGCCCACGCAATGGCTCGAATGGCGCCCAAAAAGTTTTTCAGCCCGCCTTTTGCGACACATTTCCAAATTTTGTTTTTCTTTTTGTTGACTTTTCATGTTGTCGCACTGAAAGCAAGCCAAGAGCAAACAACAAAGGCTCAAAAAATGAGAAAAAATTTACAAAAAAAAAAAAAAAAAACGACAGCAACAAGAACAATAAACATCATTAAAGCTGAAAGCGAGCCAAAAATATTAGCCCATATTTCGTTCCTCCCTTTTTGTCCTGCTCTCCTTTGTTTTGTGCCTTTGCTGCTTTTTAATAAGGCAATTTTTAATTTTTTGTATTTTGTATTTTGTATTTTGCTGGGGTAATCCTTGATTGAAGTGCTGGAAAATGTCTTATTAAAACAAATTATGGCTCTTTGAAAATTGGCTAATGCGTTTAATTGGCCGTAACAGCATTTGCCTGCCCTGAATTTACCGGCCTTACAGCTTTACAGTTACAACAGCATCTGACATTTCAGACAGTTACATAAGCTAAAACATTTAAAACATCGAAAAACTAAAAACAAGAAACTAAAAATGCAAATTTATTCACAAATTGTTTCGAGTTTTGCTGTTTCTCGTTTCGTTGTTCCGTTGTTTCGTTGTTTTTTTCTGCCATTCTACGCAAGAGTCGAATTTCATTTAATTTTTATTAAAACTGTTTTACAACTGTTGCTTAACTCTTTTTAATAATTTGTTTTTTGTCTATTTTTTGCGTTTATTTTGATTTTTTGGTTTTTTTTTTCCCACTGGAAACTTAACAACGATTTTTCTTTGATTTTACATTTTCTTTTTTCGTATATTTCTTTTGTGTTTGATTTTTGTAGGAGCCTCTTACAATATATTGATGAGGAACTAAAGTTAAGGTAACTACACCAATAATTTCTTTTGCGAAATGATTTACAAAAAACCAAAAAAAAAAGTAAACTATAAAATAAAACTTAGTTTTAGTTGGGTAAATTAGCTAAGAACACACTGCAACACACTTAACAAACACAAACCCCAACAAAACCCTCAAAGTAACACACTTACCTATATACCACAATATATATATACCATATACTAAATACATATATAGTAGACTTAAAGATATACAGCTCCACTAACGGCTAAAGTTTCGTACACTTACACATAGATACACTGAGTCTCTTGAGAGTTCATTTACGCTCTACACTGCTCCCCCCTACCACTCTCCCCCTCTCCCTCTATAAGTCATTATCAACTCTGGCTGAGTTCTTTTTCCATGCATTTGCCTCACCTGTTTTTGTTCAACTTTCATTTTGTTCTATTAATTTACTGTTTGTTTTCTTTACAACTTTCTACAGTCTTCAGCGTCGTCTCTCCCTCTCCCTCTCTCTCTCTCTGTCTCTCTCGTCTCCCTATTGTTCCTACTTCGCCTTTGTCCTGGGCTTTGTCTGTCTGCTAAAAGTTCTTCGCTGCGTATACGTAATATACTGCCTTGCCTTGCCTCGCCTTGCTCTATGCATCGCAATATATTACGCATACGCAACGTATTCGACTGTCGATATGGGCTGACAAATCTTAACTAATTCATGGCGATATGCGATCGTAGAGCAGCATAACTAACCAGTTCGACTTGTCGAAAGGTCACACAGAGCCATGGACCCTTTTTTTCACCCTTTTTTTTTTAGGGGAATTTTTAGTGTTTATTTATGTGATGCGTGCGCAAATGTTTGTCCGCACATTGCTTTTATAGTTATTACTATGGTTATTACTGTGATGGCCGTTGCCTACTTACCAATGCCAATGAGGCCTTGTATATTTTGATTGCACAATATTACGAAATTCAATTTCTATTTGCCAAGAGAACGAAAGACGAAAGACGAAAGAAAGCAGAAAAAGCAAATAGACATTTGTAAACGTGTAATTATGTTTGGCCAGCTATACTCTTGCTCCCTTGCACTCCCACTCCCACTATCTCTATCTCTATCTCGCTCTGAAAGCTTGTTAAAATATGCGCACAAGCGTAAATTTGCCATTTTGGTAAATAAGCAATGTAGAGTATATAAACAACAAGCCAGCAGGAACACACACTCTGTCCACAGCAAACTAATTGAAGAATTGATGAATTGAGCTGTTGAACATGTTTACAGTCGGAGCCTTTAACGGCAGCAAATTGGACAGGAAGAGCGTTTGGCCAAAAACTAATTTCAAATTGAACAGAGCTCAATTTTTACACAGAGAGAGAACGTGAGGGGGGGAGGGGAGGGGAGGGGAGTGTGTGTGTTTTCCTGCAACAGCAGCAGCAGCTGAGATTTTTCACTTTTCTCTTGTTTCTTTCTTTTTTTTTTTTTTGCTTCTCTCTGTTTGTTTTCTGTTTTGCTTTTCTTTGGCTGCATTTGCTGCTTGCATACGAAATTCAGTTTATTTGGAAAATTTGCTGGATATTTTATTTTTGTTAAGAATTCAAGAATTAATTTTCTGCCATTTGCTGCATGCATGTGTGGGTGTGTGTGTCGAAGGGTGTATATATGTGTGTGTGTGTGTCTGCTATGGTCCACTCTACTCTATATAGGTATGTGTGTGTGTCTACTCTCTATCACTCACTCCCTCCTACTCCCTCTCTCTCTCTCTCTCTCTCTCCCCCCCCTTATCTCCCCAGCTCATCTTGTTTTGTATTTTTCGATATATTTTTCTATTTTCTGTGCATTCATGTGCAAGGCAATTTTCTATATGTATGTGTGTGTGCGTATTTGTTTTTGTAAACAGTTTTACAGCTCATGCATAATTTATGGCCATTGCATTAATTTATTTAGTTACTTAGAGGCAAGAGGGGCGTGGTCGGGGGTCAGCTCATCAATTATAGTTGCAAGCAGCCCAAGTCCTATTTATGTCCTTCATTTTCGCGTTGCCAATGCATGTTTTGCACACTAACAACCACAGCAACAACAACAACTAGAATAGGAGGCAATACTAATACACACCCACACACACACACGCAGCATTAACTTGTCTGGGTTTGGGGCATGATGTAACAAGACTAACTCAACCACACACAACCACTACGCCCACCCACTCGTCCAGTTTAGAGCTGCACGCACAGAAACACCACAGATACAACCCAGCCCCCACCCCCAGCCACCCCACACGTACACAAATGGAGCAGCCCCTCCGTGCTTAGCTTGGAGCGGGTCTGGCCAACAAGTGAATGATGTTGTGCGTGTTATCAACAAAGAAGCTCAAACACTTTGGCTTTCTTTTTCTTTCTCTTCCAACGCGTCTCTCTCTCTCTTCCTATCTCTCTTTCTCTCTATCCATCTGTCTCGCTCGCTCGCTGTGTATTTCACTCGCTGGTCGCTGGGTCGCTGCTCTTAGAGCAACTTTGCCATTGAACGACACCAAAGATTCGGCACTCAGTGCCGAGTATAGCTGCAGCGCTGGAGGCGGCGGCGGCGTAAGCGGAGGCGGCGGGGGCATTGCATCAACAAATGGGGGCTGCTGCGTTGCAGGCGGAGGCGGACTCGGTGGCAGCGGCGGCGGCGGCGGTGGCGGTGGCAGCGGCAGCATCATCAGCAGCAGCGTTGGTGGTGGCCTCAGCGGTGTCGGCGGCGGCGGCGTCAGCAACAACTGTGGAGGGCATCATTACCACCACCATCATCATCATCAGCATCATCATCATCAGACCAGTGCAACTGGCAACGGCACCACCACCACTCAGCACAACCACCACAACCACATCCAGAACCAGAACCAGAACCACAACCACAACCACCATCAGCACCTAAACCAGCTATCAAACAACGCACTGACCACCACGTCCAACAGCACCAGCAGCGTCAACTGCAACGCCAATCAGAATCAGAATCCGAATCAGAATCCCAATCAGAATTCAAATTTCAATTCAAATTTGAATGCCTTGAGCATGTCCGCCTCGCTGGCCTCCATGCCAGGACTGAGCGCCTATCTGGGCATGTCCAACTTGCGCACCACCAGCATTGGCGACGACGACGATGGCGACATCAATCTGGACGTTGACATTGCCATGAATAATGCATCGGCTACTTCTGCTGCTGCGGCTGCTGCTGCTGCTGCTGCTGCTGGTGGCTATGCCTCTGGTCCAGCATCTGTGGCTGCATCTGCATCTGCATCGTCATCGACATCAGCAACGGGCGCTGGCTGCTCCGCCTCCGCTGCGCACTATTTGCGGCACAGCAGCAACTATCGCTCGGCGGCGGCGGCAGTTTCATCTGCCGCTCAGGCATTGCATGGCCTTGACCATGGCTTGCTCTCATCATCATCGCTCGCAAACAGCAGCACCACAACAGCAGCAACGTCATCCGCATCCTTTTATAATCGCTTCCTACTCCTCGATAATTCCAGCGGCGATGCAGTCGGCGGCGGCGGCGGCAGCAGCGGCAACGGCGGCATCATCAAAGGCAGCAATGGCCTGGATATGAGGCATGAGACAGCTGCCACGCCTCCGGCTAGCGCACACTCTGTCGGCGATGGCTTCTCGCATTCCAACAGCGCCTCGACCAGCTCAGCAGCGGCAGCAGCAGCAGCGGCGGCGGCGGCAGCAGCAGCAGCAGCACAAGCTTCGACTGCATCCACTGCTGCTGCTGCGGCTGCGCCTGGCCTCACATCCGACAGGGTAGCGCATCTCTATGAGAATCTGTTGCGCAGCAGCAGCTCGGACGTGCTAGAGCTTGCCCAAGCGGACGCGGCCAGCGGCGAGAACAGCAACAACTGTGATTACCGAAGCGAGAGCAACCAGGTGAGTGGCTGCTGCACGAGTGGCGCAGGCAAATTCAATTTTAATCCTCCTCCGCATCTATCTACATGCAGAATGGCATTGAGGATTCACCAAGACGTCACAGCTCCATGGATCAGCTAATCGGTCTGCTCAACGATTTGGGCAAAACGTCGCGCACGCGCAGCCTCAGCGATGGCGGCACCCAGGACGATGATGAAGGTAGCTATTGACTATATACATATCAATATCCCTAACTAAACACCTACCCCCCTCCCCCCCCACAGTTGAAAAGGAAGCGCAACCGGATCTGTTGAACAATACGCCACCTGTGCCGCCCAAGCGCTCGCATCGACGTCGCCACACGCCGCCGCGGCCCATTTCGAACGGGCTGCCACCGACGCCCAAGGTGCACATGGGCGCCTGCTTCTCCAAAATCTTCAACGGTTGTCCGCTGCGCGTGCACTGCACCGCCTCGTGGATACATCCGGAGACACGGGATCAGCATCTGCTGATTGGGGCCGAGGAGGGCATCTATAACCTCAATATGAACGAGCTGCACGATGCGGCCATCGATCAGCTGTTTCCGCGTCGCACCACCTGGCTGTATGTGATCAAGGATGTGCTGATGAGCCTGTCCGGCAAATCGTGCCAGCTCTACCGGCACGATCTGGTCGCCCTGCACTCGAAGCAGACGGTGCGCTTCTCGCTGCACATGAACAAGATACCCGAGCGGCTGGTTCCACGTAAATTTGCGCTAACCACCAAAGTGCCGGACACGAAGGGCTGCACCCAGTGCTGCGTCACACGCAATCCCTACAACGGCTACAAGTATCTGTGCGGCGCCACGCCGAGCGGCATCTTCCTGATGCAGTGGTACGATCCGCTGAACAAATTCATGCTGCTCAAGCAGTGCGAGTGGCCGGCCACCAGCATACTGGGCCAGGGCAGCGTCCAGAACGGGCATACGCCCATCTTCGAGATGATCATCACGCCGGAGCTGGAATACCCCATTGTGTGCACGGGCGTGCGCAAGGCGCTCAACGGCTGCCTCAAGCTGGATCTGATCAACATGAACAGTGGAAGTTGGCCTGAAATTTTCATTTGCATCCGAATTGGACTAATATTTTGCTCTCTGTACTGCAGGCGCTAGCTGGTTCCATGCGGAGGACTTGGAGTATGATGCGATGGCCACGATGGTACCACGCCGCGATCTGTTGAAGGTGGTGCGCGTGCACCAAGTGGAGAAGGACGCCATTCTCGTCTGCTATGGCAATGTGATGCAGGTGGTCACGCTCCAGGGCAATCCCAAGCAGCACAAGAAGATGGTTGCTCAGCTCAACTTTGACTTTAACGTGGACAGTATTGGTGGGTCGGACTCCCTCTCTCTCCTTCTCTCTCTTGTACTAATTGCTGTCTACTCTCTCTCTCTCTCTCCCTCTCTCTCTCTCTCTTCTGTAGTTTGTCTACCGGACAGTGTATTAGCATTCCACAAGCACGGCATGCAGGGCAAGTCTCTGCGCAACGGCGAGGTGACGCAGGAGATTAAGGACATGAGTCGCACCTATCGGCTGCTGGGCAGCGATAAGTAAGTGACTAAGCAGAGTAGATATAGATATATGATGTATATATGTATGTGTAACACTTCCTTTTCACAGGGTCGTCGCATTGGAGAGTCAACTCGTGCGCACCGGGTCGCTGGGCAGCGAGGAGGGGCACGATCTGTACATCTTGGCCGGTCACGAGGCCAGTTACTAGGCGGGCGCTACTTGATCTAGATGTTATAAATATATATGCATATACACATCTATATATACATATATATACTATCTATATATATGTATGTATATGTATATCCAGATACACACACGCACTCAATAAATTTGAAATTCAAGCGCGCAGCCGTCGTCACAGTCGGCGTCAACTACTAAATGTAATTGAATTACTCGTAGGCCGTAAGCTACATTTAATTCGATTCGAGCATTACATTAGTGAATTACAAAACAGAAAAGAAAATGAGAAGAAAATTTAAAAACAAACAAACATAGAGCGCATTTGATTCTAAAATGAGATTCGTAGTCTCCCCCTCCTTTTGCCCACACGATTTTTCCATTCTTTGCCAAATCCACTTTAGCAATGTAATTAAATGTATTTAACAAGTTAAGCTGCACAGTCGTCTACCCGATTCCGTTGTAATTATATTTTTGTAATACATATAGAAGAAGAAGAAACACACATACACAGAAATGCTTTAAATTATATGCCTAACGTTTTTTTAATTATGCATAAATAATTAATGTTAAATAAGACACAGATTTAGAAGGAGAGAGAAGCAGTAAATAAGGAAAGAGAACGAGATTTGTGTAAGGCTCACAAAGCAAATAAATTAGTCCGAGAAAAAGATTGAAAGTGGAGCTGAAGAGCGAAAGTCAAAGCAGAGGCGAAACGCATAAATTATATTCGTAATTAAACATTATTAGTAACTAACGAAAACTTCATAGGTTTTAGCAATTGTAAATCGCAAATGTTTTTGTAGTTTGGTAACTGATGAATGGACAGGAACTGCATTGAAACAAAAAAATAATGTTGGAAGCAAAAAACAACAAAAAAGTTCAATAATTTGTGAAAGTATTGATTGAAAGAGTGTGAGAGAGCGAAAAATGGTTTGTTGGGAAACAAAGTAGATTAAGCATTTTCTAAAAATAACAAATAATTCTATTTAAAACACGATTGCATTGTAAAGACGTTCGGAAACTGTCATAATTACGATTTTAGCCTAAGAGAACAATTTTCCCAGCAGCACATTTGTCTTCAGTTGTAAAAAAAAAATATTATATATATGTTTTAAGTTAATTAGTTGTACGTGAATAGCGAGAAACCCAAAATTATAAATTAATACAAAAAACTTGTTGAACTTTAGTTTAGTGCAAAAATAAAAGTATTTAAAGCAAGAGATTTGAATTTGAACGAAATGCGCACGCTTAGTCGGCAATAAGTTGGCAGCACAATTGCTAGGTGCTGCCAGATTGGTTTAATTGCATATTATGACATTTTCAGCTAAGTCGTAGACGGTTACACTGTCAACAACACAATTTAATTTCACGTGTTGCCCGAGTTTGTTTTGATTTAAGACCGAAAAAGTTTAATGAAAATGGCATTCGAGGTGCCGCCATGGGACAAAAGTGTCGAAGTTATCAAATTCAAGCCCGTGCAGGTAGCGAGCAATGGAGCTACTGCCAAAGCGAAAGCCAAAAAACTTAAGAAGAAAAAACCAAAGGTGAAGAAGCACGCCGACGAATCGAATTCCACAAACGCAACTGCAACGGGCTACAGATTGGGCAAGGGACCGCTCGCGCCGCCACCGGAATCATCGGATGACGAAGCAGACGATGGACTGCGTGCCATGCACAAGATAAGAATGGGACGCATTGAAAAACAGCGGCCAATCACTCAAACTGCCAAGGATAACAAAAAGAAGCAGCTGAAATTGAAGCCCGCTATGATTGGAGCCGCCGTCGAGGCCATGGAAACCTCCGCATCCGTCGTAGGTGCTGCTGCCACACCTGCTACGTTGGCCAACAAATTACAATCTGAGTTGCTTGGTGGACGTTTTCGCTATATTAACGAACAGCTTTACACAATGAACAGCCAGAAGGCCGAGAAGCTTTTCAAAAACGACGACGAAGCCTTCGAAGCTTATCATGCTGGCTATCGCCAACAGGTGGAGAAATGGCCCACAAACCCCTTGGCGCGCATCATCAAGATCATCAAAAGATTGTCGAAGACCCTGATCATTGGGGACTTTGGCTGCGGAGACGGTAAGCTGGCTCAGTCAGTGCCCAACAAGGTGTACTCCATGGATTTGGTGTCCACGCGTGAGGACATCATTGCCTGCAACATAACGAATACTCCGTTGGAAGACCGATCCCTGGACGTGGCTGTCTACTGCCTCTCGCTGATGGGCACCAACCTGAATGATTATCTGCTGGAGGCGAATCGAGTACTGAAGCTGCATGGCATCGTCCATATAGCTGAGATTCAATCCCGTTTCGAAGATGTGCGGGAATTTGTGCGCTTTATGGGAAGCTGTGGATTTGACTTGGTGAAAAAGGACGTGGCTGTAAATTACTTTTATTTCTTTCAATTTCGTAAGATGCGACATGTGGACAAGCAGGTGAAGCTGAAGCCCTTCTCTCTAAAGCCGTGCCTCTATCGTAAACGTTAAAATAGATTGTACATTAAATAAATGTAGTTAAAAAAATCACACATCAAATTCTTTGATCGTTAAGCAGTTGAGCAGTAAAGAGTTGCCACCCAGGCGGAACAAAGTAATGCGCGCTTTACCACTCCTCACTCAAGTCATAAGACTGACAGAAGCTGGATGCTCGTGAACTCATTCTGTAGCTGTGACGTTGCACGTTCTGGTGCTCTCTCTCGCTCTTCGATTGACTCAATCCAATGGGGCAGTGGTTGTTCCGTCGACTCTGCCGCTTAAATACAAAATAAATATATCTCAGTACCAGTTTGCTCTTCGTGCGTAGCATTTCGAATATTTTTACCACGGTACGTTAACTGAAAATACCCCGTCGCAGGCCAATAGGAAAACAATAAAAAAAAATATACACACATATATGTATATATATGAGAAAAATAGGCAAGAGAATTTGCCAGCAAAAAGAAAATCAAAGCATCTGTGTGCCAGTTGCAGAAAATTCGCGCGCAAATTTGTGTTGTTATAAATAAAACCACAAAAGTTTTGTTTCGTTATTCTTTTACGATTTTATGCAGTTTTCACACGCCCACGCCTAGTTTTACACCCCGCGCTGTCATTGCGCTCACTCTCAATTTTACTATTCTCTATTACTCACTCAACGTCAATTTTCAACAGGTATTCAACGACGACGACAACAACAGCAACAACAACAACAGCAGTAACAAATTGTCTTTTTTCGTGTTCGATAGAAAAAAGTGGCCAAGAATTTGTTTATGTGTATTGTTGCGTGTGCAAGTGTGTGTGATTGTAAATTATTATTTGCAAAGCGATTTGTGGTGTGAAAAGTGAAAACAAGTGGGAAAAGCGCCGCAAAGTATTCAACGCTTCCAGTGGATTGGATTATCAACTGAATATCAAGGCAGAGCTAACTCGTAAGTAACGGCAACTTCAACTACAATTTAATTAGGTTCTTCCATTCTCCTCAATCTCGAGCTACTCCACAGCCAACGGCATCGCGCCATTACCCGTTGTTTGGGTCGTCTTTTTTCAGTTTTTTGGGCTGTGGTCAGAGTTTTTGGTTGCCTGCTCCGTCTTCGAATTATTTTATGCTTTTGACATACACACACACACAGACTTACACACACAGCGAGAACAGTATGACTTCATAGCACACACACAGATACGCACGTACACTTATACGAGCACGCACATTAAAGCTAAACGCTCTCTCAGCGCTTGCCACTCTCTCTCACTCTTTGTAGAGTGYTTGTCAAAGAGAGTGAGTGAGTGAGAGCGAGAACGTTGACGTTGTCGCTTTTTGGCCAAGCTTTAGCTGTATCTTTTTGTACGTTTTCTTTGATTTTCTTTTGTGCTGCCTTTGAAACTTTACGAGTTTATGTTGTTGTTGCCGCTGCTATTGCTGTTGCTGTTGCTGTTTCACTCTTTTGTCAGATTTTGTGTTTTTCTCAGTTGTTTCGCATTTTGTTTTCTTTTTTTGAGCAGGGGCTGAAAGTTGAGAAATTCTTATTGGCAACCGGAATGGCGCGTAGTCAAGGAGACACATTCAAAACATTCAACACATGCCGCATCAGACACAAATACAGTAAAGGCACTCTACCATGAACTATTCGCATTAAAATATATGTTAGGGCAGAGTATAATCAAATATATTGTTAGCCATATGTGGGAAGAGGAAAATTTTTATTTTAATAGATTTGCATAATTTGCTGATTTTGCTATGTAAATATTTTGTAAATACTTAATATAGGGTTAGTTCTTTTGTTGAACGTGCACTGTACGTAATTGTGTGCGTGCTGTGTGTTGTATCCATGCAACCTTCCCCCGTTAAACTCATTACGATTGAAATTATGAAATGCGACACAGTCAAGTATTTACGCTCTGGATAATTGTACATACATATACATATTTATTTAAGTAGTAGTAGAGAAATATTAACGCGCAGCTAGTGTAAGATTGGCGACAACAACAACTGCGACGACGCCGACGTCGACGTCACTGGCACCAAAATAAACCAAAGGCAGCAGCAGTAGCGGCAGCGGCAGCCGCAGCTGCTGCCTTGGAAATTGATCGAGTTGAGCAGGTTATTTCCTTATCAACTGCTCGCTGCTCTGCTCTCTGCTTTTTTTTCACCCTATTGGCATTTCGGTTGTGATATCAAGGCTAAGCGCGCAGAAGGAAGTCTGCGAAGCTTTCTGGCCATTGTACTATGTACATATGTTAGGCTAGTGATAAGGCTGGCATTACTCACGCACATAGCTGAACTGATAAGGTTCCGCGCAAATAGTCGAGGGTAACTGTAAGTTATGAATGGGGCAGGTGACTCTTCAGGCGAGGCTCCCATGCGTCATCCAAAAGCCAAACGGATTTTCACAATCCGTGGAAAATCTGATAGAAAGCAGACGCGGACGTGGCTTGACTTGGCTTAGCTTGAGCGAGCTTGGCTTGGCTCGACTTGGCTTGGATTGGATCTGGAACAGAGCGTTTGACCCAAATAGCCTAACGAGCGACACAGCAATGCATTTCCAAGAGTCTCTCTTTCTCTCTTCAAAGAGTGGCAGACAGATAGCGCAAGAAGTTGCATTAGAAACCGGTTATTGCTTGGCC